TGCGTAACACCCTCAAAAGAGGGACCGTGGTTCGAACTGTCCAGTCGAACCAGGAGTTGCGCACATGAACCTCACACTGTCACGACCCGTGACACAACTTAAGTGACTCCTCGTCTTGAGGCCACGACTGATCACCATAAACCTTATTGCCCAACCTACTGACACAGCTTACATCACACCCAGGGCTACTCTTTGTAACCGGCGTGTTGATCAGAGTCTCCGGGCTCGATATGATGGCACATATGCAGGAGCTGGTAGCAGAAGGGGCCGGCCAGAATGGAAAGGAGAAGCATCACACAAGGTATACACGCGGGAAGTAAGGGAGCGGTGATATTTAGCGCCGTCCTCTCTATTGCGGTATTGGCAACCGCCTCACTCGGGCTCAGTCTAACTCAGGTCAGCTCAGGGGAGCTCAGGTTAAAGCAGCATCGGCTCAGGAATTGTCTTGGTAATGGAAACTGCAGAGGGCAATACATGCGTAATGCAAGTAGCTATTGTTATTATTTGTGCCCGCCAACCTCCGCCCAATAGCTCGTACAAAAATCCTCCACACCGTCTATGGGCTGGCCGTAGTGCAGCCTGAGCAACAAAACAGCCCCAGCCACTTCGAAATCAAGCTGCGTCCTCCTCCCGACTCAACAGCCCCCAGTCAAGCGCTCGGATTCCATCCTGGGTGTAGGCTGGGAGGATCTGAAACCTCCGCCCGCGATGGAATCGCCTGATCTGACAGGGCCTTTTCCCGCGGGGAGCCCAGCCCTTACGCTTTATCCCAATGCTTTTGTTTACTCCTGTCTCATCTATGAAGACCAGCTGTTCGGAGCGAAGGAACGATACTTCGTACATGTATTCGTCCCGTAGATCGGGGTTGCGCTCGCGCGCGACATTTTGTGTGCATTTCTTCGACCACTTGGCCTTCTTCAGTGCCCTGCTGATGCTGAAACGCGTTAGGTCGACGTCGAACTCGTTGCGAAGGAAGTCGGCCACGTCTTCCAGCCGCATGCATGGGTTAAGGGAGAGCTGATTAAATAAAGCGGTTAGCATAGGAGGAGCGACGGTCTTGGGTCGGCTAGCTCCATTTGGCGGTGCGGTAGTCGATCCGAAGCGGAGCAGGTTCGATCGAATGCGACGCACCGCGCGGTCGGTACAGCCAGCTATTTCTGCTATCTCGTTATCTTTTGGGCCATCGTTACCTTTTAGCTTACTGCCGATTATGCTCTGGATCAGAACGCGTTTGTGGAGAGCAAGATTTGGCGCTATCGTCGTTGTGCGGTAGGGAACGCTGCTGTCAGCAGAGGATGACACATTGCTTCCGACGGCGGTTGCCTGCAGTCCCAAAATCGGGCGCGGCTATTCGGATCGGGAAATCTAGATCCGACTTTCAAAAAAGGTACCTGTGATGACTCACGAGTACAACGTGTGAATAAAAACGAATCCATACTCCCGTCAGCAGGCCCGTGCGCCTGAAACAAAAAAGAAGAGTGCACACGACCGGACGCCAATTTCGCTCCTAGCTGTAATACAGAGTTGAAGCGCTAGTACAGTACAGTCACTAGCGAAATCTGCTTCCGCTTTTTATTTTCTGGTTTACGTCTTTCGTAGATGAGAGGTCTCTTGCGGGTGGCCAAGGATGCACTAGTCGAGTAGCATCCCCTTCCAAACGTAAATTCTCAGGTGCTCGAACGTATAAGATGCTCGACCTTCAGAACGTATGTTCTCTCAAACCAGGCTTCCCTCCATATCACTAGCAGCTTCTGAAATCAGCTAGCCGTGCCATTCACCCACAGAAAAAATGGAATTCCCCTGCCCCAACAAGCAAATCCTTTTTAGCAGCCCTGTGCTGGCAAGCCCAGAGCTCTCTGGGATCTCCGGAGGCCCCTTCCAAGGAACTCTCCCACATGCGGCCCCTCCATGGGATGCACAGGATCGTCGATATGTCGAGCCCGAAGATCTACCAAATTATGGTGACAGCGAGTCCGATTATGGCGCATTGAACAGCGGCTGGGACACCGTTCCTTCCCCGCTAATAGGAGAGCTCAGACGTGGCAACACCAAAGCCCAACGCAACAACATTACCAGTATATGTATGCCACCTTCCTACCTTTGGGGTACCAGTTGTGCTAACACGCCTGAGCAGACGGGGGTGTCAATGCAATTGCCGGTGGCAGTGACGATGAGAGTGATGCAAGCATATCAATGCTGTCGGTCGATGACAGCATTAGCCATCCTGAGCTGGCCATCACCAAGCCACCTGCACAGCCATCCACCAGCCGAGATCGCGTTGACATACTGTCGCCACGAGATTTCACCCATCCCGGAACGGGCTACCGCAGAAGAAAGAACCGAAGGTCCATCCTTCTAGCCAAGCAACGCCGCGTAGCAAAACAAAGCAGCACACTGTCTAAAAGGGGCGAGAAGAGTGCAGTACAACCCACGTCAACTTCGACTTCAAAAAGGGCTGGATACACGGCAGAAGAAGATGCAAAGATCCACCAGCTGAAGGAACAAGGACTGTCCTGGCTCGAGATCACCGAGCATTTTCCAGGACGTACTCCTGGGGCCATTAGGGTGAGGTATCACAACAAGCTCAAGCCCACCTCCTCCCGAAGCGAAAGTCAGAAGTTGTGTGATTATCCTCAGACACGTTCAGTAGTTGACAATGCTCGTGACGAAGAGTGGGAGGTAGAAGAGATTTGTGATCATAGAAAGCTGGATGACGGCAGCCTGCAACTCCTTGTGAAGTGGAAAGGCGGAGAGGAGACATGGGAACCTTACGAGAATGTGGAAGAGACGGAGGCGCTTGACGAGTATGAGCGCCGTCATGGTCTGGTTATTGTAGATATTGTTTAAACCTTTGTTTGGAATACAAATTGAAACCTATTTCCATGATTGTATCACTAGGATGTGCCGCTTAGGTTTGAGACAACTAAGAAGTTCGGCGGACTAGAGAGGCTAGTCAGGACCTCCTATGTGAGAAATTTACCAGAAGATATTCCCGGCTCCTTATAATTTAGAGAAGGTCAAGCTGCTAAGGAACGTTGGCAGACGAAGGCAGTGAGAAGCGAACAACTGTCAACGGCAGTTCTCTAGCTCTCTGAAAATTCTTTCTCTTCGTGGGACTGCGAGGTCCGACAATTCCCTGGGAACGAGTGCTACGGTTCAGCTCCACATTTCCAAGGACTGGTCCTCCTCTCCCCTATCCTGTTCCTTTTCTTCAACGCAGACCTGGTAGAGCGGAGGATTGATAGTAACCGGGGGGGCGATGCCTTCATTGATGATTTCACGGCCTGGGTCGCGGGTCCAACAGCAAAGAGTACTCGCAAGGGCATCAAAACTATCATTAGCGATGCATTGGACTGGAAGAGGAGAAGCGGACCGACATTTGAAGCAGAAAAGACGGCAGTCACCCACTTTACCCGCAAGGCGTCCAAGGCGGACTCGGAGCCCTTCATCTTCAAGGGCCAAGCTATTGAGCCCAGGACACGTCAAGCTCCCTGGGGTGGTCATGGACACCAAGCTCAAATACAGGGAACACATTTGCAAGGGTTGCCTCCAGAGGACTCGACGGAGCGATGGAGTTGAAGCGCCTCAGAAGCTTGTCTCCGCTTGCGGCCCGGCAACTGTTCACGAGTATGGTTGCCCCACTGGTAAACTACGCGTCCAATGTCTGGATGCATGAATGTAATTAGAAGGCCGCGCCGGCCATCAACAGGGTACAGAAGATTGGGGCACAAGCGATTGTGGGTACATTCAGCACGGTGGCCACGAGCATAGCGGAGAGACAGATTCGGGATAATGGGATCAAGATGTGGACGGATGTCCACACCCTATCGGAGACTAACCACCAGCTGTACCAACACATCTCGCTGAGCCTGTATAAGCAGGGGAATGGTAGATTATTTTTAAATAACGTATCTTATAAGCGAGTGACCCATATAACCGAATGACCCACCCCCCCCCGACACCATAACAACTATCCTCAAATATACCGCAACAAAACTAAGAACTAACTACAATTACATCGGAAGCAGGTGCGTCAGACAATTCTGCAGCTTCCTGCCAGGTGCGAGCATTATGTCCGGGCTTGCCGCACACGCCACAGCACCGAACCTTCGTACGCGCCTCCCCTGCACCACCACCATCCAGCTGCAGTTCTTGCGCCACCTCTCCACCCATTGCGGTCTGGTCAAGTAAATCCTTTGCATCTTGTACGGCAAGTAATCCTCCAAGCCGTACGCGTGTTCTTTTCGCTCTCCGGCGCTTACTTATTGCCTCGTTGGCCTTACGAAGCGAAGAGACCTCTGACTGAAGGAGGGTCATCTGGTGCATCACAGTCATCGTACCCTTGGCAAGGTGGTCCACAGCAGCCAACATTGACGTTGGAGAGCTATTTTGATGATTGGCGATGCGAGTCTTGAGGAGCGTTGACTGCGAGTTGGTTTCTCGGGGGTTGTGTGGCGTCTGGAACACCCAAGGTTGTGGACTGCTGGCCCGCGAGTTCAGGGGTGTTGGTGTATGGAGCCTCACATCCAGCTTGGAAAGCACCCTCTCTGGATTGTACGGCACAAGGCCAGCACCTGCAAAGCCACCCCGTATATTCTTCTCTGTCATAGAGGCAAAGAAGGCCTCGCGGAAGGCGCAGAGGAACTCGAGCTTGCTCACATGGTTGATATGCATGCGCATCAACTCCTCGATTTGGCGACCGTACGCCTGCTTCAGCGGTCCAAAGCAGCCAACATCGAGTGGCCTCTGGTAGTCGTATTTGCGCGAACAGCGCGTTCGGAGCTCTGGCTGGCGTTTGACGAAGTTGTGGGCCCAGAGCTTGCCGACAGGGGGCGCGTCGCGTACGCGTAGCAGTTGGTTGGCCATATCTTCTACACCACGCAGTCTCGGTGGGAAAGCTCGCGCACATAGCTCAGTAATGTATTGAACAATAACATTCTCTTCGAAATCGGTAAGCCGGCGCGAGTTGGGCGTAGTATCGCATCGTGCAGGCTTGCCGGCGCGTCGGCGCGCTAGGGTTCTACGGTTGACCCCATAGATCTTAGCTGCAGCTCGCTCGCTTAGTTTTTCATCGTTTTCGAGAGCTTCGAGGGCTAAGATCAGCCGAGCTTCTTTTAAAGTAGTGGGAATCTTGGATGATAGGGAAAATGTGTTGTTGAGTGCAGAGGTGTCGCGTGGCAGGGGGGGGGGGGGGTCATTCGGTTATATTGGTCACTCGCTTATAAGATACGTTAAGCGGCAGTCTGAAATAAGGGCTAGAAATTTACCGTAAGGATTCGTTTTAGTTATTGTCTGTCCAATACAGTACAATACAATTTATTGACGCCCGGCGGATAACCCCTATTACAATAACGTACATGATAAGCGAACGTCCCAGACAAGCGAACGTCCCACAAATCCACTCTTCCATACCTTTCATCTTTTTATCGACTTTCCCTCACAACGCAATATGCCCCTAAAAAACGACGAAGCCCAAGTGCAATTAGCCCTTCAAGCAATCCAGAATGATCCGAAACTGAGCCTAAGAGCTGCAGCTAGGATCTATTCTGTGGACCACGAGAAGCTCAGTCGTGTGAGAGACGAGCAATATATAGCGAGGCACAAAGGCGCTGCAAACACTACTCAATTCTGCTAATCGAAAGCTGAGGAAAGGAAAAAGAAGAAGA